TTTGTGCGAAATTCAACAAACAAACAAACAATCTATCCTTGTAAGTAATTTATAATTGATGTTCCTGTTATTTTGTGCTAATTTAAGGGAAATTGGTGAAATCCTTACTGACTTCTGAAATTATTAAAATCTATAGAAAATCCGGGACCTTGGAATTGGTATGAAAAATTCTGTTCAAGAACCTGAAATCTCTAAATAAATTCTGGAAAGTGGAAACTGTATCTGATTAGCAGGGATTTTCTGAGTAGCAGTTCCATGTCAGACTTATTTGAATTGAGAATTTTTAAAATTATCAATATTAATTTGTATTTAAGTTGTTTTTGTTTGTTCAAATTGCAGAAGTGCAAAAATTTAAGTTTTAACTGTTTAAAAAGTGTGACTTTTAAGCGTTAATTAGCAGGTAGTTTTTTACGTATTTTAATTTCAGTTAGTTATTTTATGGGATATAGTGTACTTGACTTTGATTTTAATATTTTTACTAGTTATTGTTTTATTTTTTGATAGCAACTTACTGAAGATAACTTAGGTCTGATCCAAAATATCTATTATAATAACACTCAGTTTTTGTCTGTCCTGAAAATATGTGTATACATGCACATTTAGATGTGCATCTTACTATCTAATTGTGCATGTTTATACACTTCATTCCAACGAATATAAACAAAAGGCGAAGGTAAATATACTTTAGTACACATTTTGTACAACATATTAAAAGCTTATGAGAGTTTTTTAAAAGATCTAATGTTAGGACATAGAATGACATTATAAGTTTATTTATTGATAATATTAAGTATGGTAAAGTTACTAAACTAAAGCAAAAAACGTTCACAAGTTACAGTGTTAATATATATCTTTATCAATTATATAGGCTATATTTAATAAAGGCATAAGTAAAGTTAGGCCTAAGACAAGTTGGATTATAGATTCAGGTATCCGCAATTAGAATTCCTTTCTATTGCTCTAGAAATTCTTATTTAAAGAAGCACTGTTGCATCAAATATACTAATTTGACCAGAAATGTTTTGTGGGTCTCTGCTGGTTAAGAAATACTTTATCATTTCTCCAATGTGTATTAATCTGTTTCTCTCTTTCTTATTGTTCTGTTAGCAATATTTGTTTATATGCTAACCCTTTTCTAAAAGGTTGCTTGTAAATGTTTGAAATCATCCATATTTTGCCAAAACCTTTTACCTTATGAAAATTTGCATATATATTATTAATGATTTTGACATTCACATATCTCAACAGGAAGTAATGCACAAAATATTACTTAAAGCATGAACTTTTACATATATCATTTTAAAAGCTTTTGTTTGTTTTTACAGTAAACATGGTCGAGAGTTAATTGCTACAGTACGAATTTCTCTTTCTGTGTTGAATCGACTTTTACTTCTACGAACAACTGTGGCAGAAATTGTAACCACTTCTGATGAAATGCAAACAACTGAATGTCCTCTAGAACGTGCTCTGTTTGCACAACCAACTCAACGTAATAAGCCTCATACAATACTGTCTATAGCCTATTATGTTTTTCAACGTCAAGACCCTCGCCTTGCTACTTTATCTGTTCAACTCTTGAAACGGATTGCTAAGGTAAGAGGTCAAGTCAAATGTCTAGTTGAAATGTAGTGATTATAATAGAAGAATTTTTAAATTGTTGGGCTGTGTTAAATTTTACATTGACATTTTGCAGATTGTATTCGGTAGTTTTTTGCAATGATACTTTTAAACTTTTTGTTTTATTCTAATAAAATTTCTGGTATAGGAATACCTTCTTGATTTTCAAAACATTTTTATCACTGAATTTGTTACTGTTTTTTGCTTAATGAAATATAATTTAGTCATAATTAGGACTTATTAATATTAGAAACTGGTTTATCAAATATATAAATGAATTATTTTCATATTGTTCCAGGAAATTACATTTCATTTAAGCAAAGAAGTGACACTGGTATATTTTTAGTTTTGTACTTAATATTCATAAATAAGTGTATGGAATAGATAGGACCAACATGGGATATTAAGTTAACTCGATCCAAACAGATGGGTGTTTGGATCCAAACTTTACAGATGGGTGTTTGGATCATTTTGATTGCATATTTAAAACTTCTGTGCTTTCAAAATTTGATTACAAAATATAATTCTAATTTTTTTTTCAACAGTTTTTATATTCTACATTTTGAAAAATTTATATCTTAGTATTATACAATGTTAATCTAGTTTATTTCTTAAATAAAATTTAATACGTGTATAATTTTTCAGTCCTGTCATGACTCTGTGTGTTTGAACTATAAACCTCAGCTTTTAGATTTTTTTACTGGTTCCTAACCTTATCTGTATTTCTCCTAAACACATTTAAACTTGTTTGGTTAGTTTGATGCTAATTTTATTCTTCTCTGCCTTCAGTTTGTTCAAGTGTTAAGTTATTGGTTGAACTTGCATTTATATTACTGCTTAGGATGTTCTTGAGAACTTTTAATGGTTCTCAGTTTTGAAAAGGAGATAAAGCCTAAATCCAATAGTCATATGAAAGGGGAATTTCTAAACTTTAATGCTGTGTACTCGAAATTGCAACAGTCCTGTATAAAAATTTTTATGCTTTAGCTGTGTTCATAAATTAGTAATGAAAGAACTTCAGGACAAAATTTTGAAATCCATTCCAACTAATTAGTGAAATGTAATTTTTTATAGTTAATACTGATGATCCTTTCATTTCCAAATATATTTCTATGTTATGTTATGTCTTTTAAAGCTACCAAAATATTCTTCTACTACAAACCATCAGGTAAGGGTTTGTGGGTTTCAGAGGAGAGAAAGGTAAGCTAAAGCCTGTGAGGGCAATCTGTTTGAATGACACTTTTTTATGTTGAAATAATTGTATGTTTATTGTATTCAAAGATATAAAAATACAAGAATTTCTTATTTATTGACAGTAGACTATAATTATAAGATATAAATTGATCCTGACCCAAAAATATAAATATGATATTTGACAAGGTTGTTGGTATTACTATTTTGAAAGGTGAGATAATTGTTCACCAGTAAATCTTTGTCAGTCATGCTTCTATGTATGATTCACAGCAGAAAATTAGATTTTGGATAAAGCAAAATAAAGTTTGTGTGCTTTACTCTTTGTATAAACTGTATGTTAACTCTCTCAACATGGGCTTGGTCAATTTGATGGACCACGTGACCTCTTTGTACTCGTTTAAAGTCTTTATAGATTTAATACTTCTAATTTTCAATATAGTGTGTGTATATCTTCATAATATTTGGCAATCTTTTATTTAATTTTATAAGTCTTTCACATACAAAAAATCATATTTTTTAGTGGAGTATTTTTAATAAGATACAATAAAGATTTGTCCATGAATATATTGAGTATTTGTTTTGAATAGTCCATGTTCAAAGTAATTTTTATGTTAAAATTAAAAAATACTTTTCTTCCTCATCTCAAAATCTGAAATTTCCTTTGTGTAATCCCTAAAACCTCCTAAATGCATTTCAAACATTTTTTTCAGTAAAACTTTATATTTTTTCTGTTATTTTCTCTACCCTATTCCAAAATGGGATCGGTCAATTTGACCAACCTCATACCCCCCATAAAAAATTGAAATAAACCTAAATTACCTCATTTTTCTTTCTAGAATGATTTCAAATTGTAACGTGAAACTACATTCATTTATCTTAAGTAGCTATAAGTTTGTAACAGCATACATCTATTTATAATTAAATTTTATTGTTTTATTGCCTTTTGAACCATATCTAACTACTATCTGCACCATTATAAGTTGTAAATCACTCTGGGAACATACAGCTCACATTACACTAACGAATTACATTACCCACAAGCAGCTGCTCACTCGTACCTCATGAAACATTTTTATTATAATAATAATATTATTATTTATTTTACCTAATCTATTCTTAACAAACCTAAGAGGATCCCTATTTTTACATTTTAGTTATTTTTATAATTATACATAAAGAATAAACATGAAAAACAAGAAATAAAATATTTAACCAATCTTCTTTTTTCTTGCTGTTGGGTTTCGAAGTTAACCCTAATTTTGTATGCTATAGATAGTAATGCACTTAATAATTTTCATTGAATTAAATAATACACCAAACAATATAGACTAATAACGTGCAAAAAGTAGATAAATACACTTACCTCTCAAAATTTTCCTGGCTATCTAACTATGAGACAAGAGACGTTACAAATTTCTCTAATCTAGTTGTTAACTTTCCAATGGGAATGAACTGTGTATTATAAGTGAAATTGACACTTAAGTGTTCAGAACACAACATTATACAATGTGTCATTTGATAGATGAAAACCTTGACTTTCTATTGGCTGTTGGATAATATATAATTAAAGGTAAGAGAAAACTATCAACGAATTTTGAAAGAGAGGATGTGAATGGTGGGTGTGGCAGGAGGGGTCTGATTTTCTGTTTGATAGTTCACAGCAATAACACCAACGATCGAGGAAACTACATTAAATTACATTGTCTTTGCCTAGAAACCATGCAGGTGTAGCACAGAGTATATTACAGACTTGTAAACGGAACTTTGTCAGGAATTCTACTTAAGTCGCATTCGGCATTCTACCTGAAATTTGACTAAAGTCACGTACGGCAGTGAAAGGGCTAATAAAATTTTGAGTGTAAGACACTAAAACCTTGTGTCATGTGCAGTAAAGGATACCTGTGGTGATAGGTTAATTGAATGTTTTTGTATGTTTCGTTTCTTCAATCTGTTATTTTGATGTTCACCTATTTAGAAGAGAAGAAATCTCAGTAAGGGACATCCTATTACTGATATTTCAGTTGTTAATACTTTTCTATCAAAATTTTGTAGGAATTCCCAATGTCTGTGCTGGCATGTTTAGGAACAGAATCAGAAGCTGTAAAAGATCATCTGCTGCTGTTGTTGCAGTCACTGACAGTTGACATCCGGTTGAAAGTAGCCATTTTGGAGTTTTTGACAACATGTGTGGCATATCAACCTGGCCTGATTGAAATGTTTGTTAATCTTCCTTTAGAAAAGAAAAAAAAAGAGATGGTAAGTACTAGTATGTTGAGTTGGTTGAGTCGACTGACCTTGTAACCACTTTTGTACTCGTTGTAGTTTTTGTACTGTAACTTTTAATACACTTTGTGTATCTTCACAAAATTTGTCAGACCTTTAAGAAACATTACAAGTCTTGCTTATACAAAAAATCAAATTTTTTAATGAAGGGTTTTTACTAAAGACATATTTGGGAATATATATAGTCTATTTTTTCTACTATTCAAATTGCAAAGTGATTTCCATGTTACGATTTAAAATACTTTTCTTCATCTCAAAGATTTCAAATTTTATTTGCATAATTTCTAAAACCTTCTAAATAAATTTCAAACGTTTTTTTTCCACTAACATTATATTTTAACAGTTATTTTTTCTACCCTAACTTTATACAAGGTTGGTCAATTTGACCTTGTAACCATAAAAAAAAATCTAAGTAAATCTAAATTACCCTTTCTTCTTTCCAGAATGACTTAAAATTTTAATAGGAATCTATATATGTTTATCCTAAATAGCTTAAATCTCATAACAGTATACATCTGTTTGTACTTAAATTTTATTGCCCTTTGAACTGTGTCTAACTAATTATCCCACCACACAAGTTGTAAATCACTTAGCTAATGTGTAGCTCATGTTACCCTATTGAATTATATAAGGCATAGGCTACTCACAAGTGTACCTCATGAAAATGTTTTTATTATTTTTTTTTATCTTACCTAATCTAACTTTATCTAACACAAGAAATCTATAATTTTTAAATTTTGATGACTTTTATAATAATAGATAAAGAATACACATGAAAAACAAGAAATATAATATTTACCTGGATCATCTTTTTTTTTGCTATCAACTGTTGATGAAACTTAACCCTACTTTTTTATATTAATGGTACTAATACACTAAATTTTTTATTTATACAAAAAAATGCATCTAAAAACACAGAATAATAGCACATAAAAAGCAGATAATATCCTATAAATATCATATTTTTTTTTGGTCTTCTAACTATGCGATAAGAGCAATTAAAATTTCAGCTAAACCCATCAATGTGTTTCCCATGGGAATAAAGTTTGAACTAGAAGCAAAATAGACTATTCTCTGCTAAGAAAAGAATATACTATAATACCTCATTTGATAGATTAAAACTTTGGCTTTCTGTTGGTTATAAAAAATATAGTATTAAATGTCTGATAGAACTATTGGCAATTTGTGAAAGAGAGGGTGTGACTGGTGGGCATGGCAAGGAGGGTTTAATTTTCTATTTTATGGCTGTGTAACAAAATAAGATTAAAAGTTATAAAGGTTATTCTTTGCCTGAGTGATAACTATTATAATGAGTAATTTATGTTAAATTCTGTAATTTAGAGAAGAGGAGATACCTAGAGAGCAAATGTCACAATTCTCATACTAGTGTAAAATTGAGGATTTTTTAAAATATTTTGTTATGAAATTAAGAACTTAAAACTTGTATAATATTAAAATTTGATTTATCAACTATAGTTTTATGCTAAGTTTATTTATATACCATATTAATAAAGTGGTTTAATTACATTTTGAATGTAACTCTAAAAAGTTGACATGCATACTTTGAACTGCCAGTAATGAGAGGGTTAATCAAAATATTTTGTTTGTTAAATTACTCTACTTGTTCTTTATTCAAAATTGATAAATAAGTTAACCTTAATTATGTCACAAATTTACTTTTTTCGAAAATTATCTGATCATTTATATTGGTCACATATTGTCTGTGAAGTATTTGTCACACAAAGACTAAAATCAGTGTTCTTTGGTGTAAGATTTTTATTCTTTTTTCTGAATGAAACATAGTGCTCAACATTATAAAGTCACTTTTCTAACAGAAGGAAGATGAAGAAACGGGAAGCTGTCTACCAAAAGTGTTAGAAATTCTCCAAGAAAAGAAAGAGGTAAGCTCATAAATGATAAACATTGATGGAGTGATAAGGAGAATGACAACTTGGTTTGTGCTGTGACAAAACTGGCATTATTAAAAAACCCAAATTCACCTTTCAGAAAAGTAATGTATGTCCTTTTGAGATTATTTTTTGGCATTGAGTAGATACTCAATTGTACATATTCAAAATAGTAACTCCTTATCAATTGTCTTGAAAGATACTTGTTTTAGTTACTTGAAGGCCAACAATATAAATTTATAAAGATCTGTTTTGAAAAATTATTAGTATTACTCCTGTATTAATACAATAGTGATATAGATAAATTCAATACCTAGTTATTATCTTGAAGAATTGTACATTTCCCATTAAGATTTTTGAAACTTTCTTTCTATGTAACTCAGCATTGTTGTACTGATAGACATTTGCATATTTGCTTGTTAAAAATCCTGTCCTTATCTTTTTAGATGTGGAGAACAGGTGACTAACTTAAATTATTGATTGATTTGAGATAATATTGAATTTTATTTTGAGGTGTTCAATGTATGTTAAGAAAAGGTGAGAAAATATGCAATGGTACATAAAAAGTATAGAATAATAAAGTCTTAAGTATTAAATTTCTTAAACTTGAATTTTCGTACCATCGTAGTTGAGATTTGATTTTACACTTCTTGAATGATTATATTGCCTAGTTATAAAGTTTCTTGGTCTATGAAATTTTCACCAAACAGTGCATTTTGTGTTGAACTAACTATAAAGAATTTCTGCTGTCCATAATACTTCATTTAGCTAAAATTGAATTGTCGACTTCCTAAAGAAAAGAGGCATAAACTACTTTAACTTAGAGGATTTTGTCTTTTTTTATAATAAGCTTAATCCCATTTATATACTTTCAGTGTAAATAGTGAAGAGGGTAGGATCTTGTGATGTTAGTACTTTGTTAATATGTGTATAGTGCTTATTGACAAAATTAGTATAGAAGAACTTTGGGTTTTGTTTACTGAAATGATTAATTGCAAGCTTAAGAATCAGTTGTATATAAGTAATTTCTTTGTGCTCATTTTAATGATATACTCAGTTTTTAGTTACACAAAATGTTTATTAATATTGATTTTAGGACATCACCAACCAATAAGGTTAGTAGGTTAGGCATAAAAGTAAGAGTTTAAAAATAAACATAACTTTGAGTTTGCATAAAAAATTTTAAATAGGAAGCAATTTTTGAAGTGAAATACAAGAGTAACTAATTACAAACTTAAAGGTTAGGTTAGAGTTAAGCATTTTGTGGCTTAAACAGTGTTCTGTTACTTCTTTTCCTATTTTATAGACTTTTTGTGGTCTGTTCAAATGCCATTTTTAACAAAAGAATGTGTGAAATAGTAGTTATTGCTGGTCAAAATATGTGACTGTTTCTAATGTGAATCCATGACTTTTGTTTTAAATAATAATTTCTACCTGTTTGATAACCTAAAAACCTATGTGAAGTCTAATTTAGGGTTGGGCAGCATTAAAACCATTATATCATGGAATACTAAAGTAGTTTTGATATAAAAAAAGAAAAGAATAAACCCTTCTTTTGATGAGGCTTGAGAGACTCTTTAAGGTATTTATTGGTGATGAACTGAAAGGAGTTTTAAATTAAGTCTTTCAACATGGGCTTGGCCCTTGGGACCGACCTTGTAACCATTTTGTGCTTGTTATAGTTTTCATGCTATAACTTTTAAATTAGTAAGCAAATGTTAACAAAATTTGGCAGATTATCAGATTGTCATACTCAAAATATCAAATTTTGTTATTAAGTCTTAAAGTTTTTAAAGCAATGTTTTTCTCATGTCTTTTATTTCTTTTCGCATGTT